ACCGTCATTATATCTACAGTTTGTGCAATTAATGGGTTATAAATTAAAATTTAGTCATAAGAAACAAGACTCCATTATTACCATCATTGTTTATCGCTGGCTTTCAGTTATGCAGAAATTTCTTATGTAAAAGAAAGTTGGTTCACAAGAAAAAAACGAATCTCTTTCAGAGAAATTTAAAATATTTATAGACACAAACATAATTAAAAACTGCCCTGGTTTACTAAAAAAATATATCCTTCTTCCATACAATGTCCTATTTGAGAACAAACCATCTTAAATATTTACCCAACTAGATTAACTTCAGTCCAAAATAAAAGCAAATATACTAATTTATAAGAATCTCAACAACTTCAGAAAAGTAATAAAATGATGAATGAGATGTTAAACAAGAGGATCATCAGGGAAATATTAGAATAACGGAATGAAAGTTATGGGATGGAAAAAAAAAAAAAAAAAAAAAAACAAAAAGAAAAATTTGAATTTGAAATACTACCAAGTAAAAGAAAAATTTTTTAAATATTTACTTAAGAAAAAGGAGTGGGAGTGAAAGAAAGAAAAAGACAACAACTGACTTAATCTTGTTTGCTTACCAAACCTTAAGGTTTGCCTGGATTCCTAATATTTTGTCTATATGAAAGCCAGCAATCTTAACCCTTTCTAACTTCTTTCCCCACTCAACTTCTACTGACTACTCCATCTTACCGCTCTTCTGCATGCCTCACTTGCCAGATGAAAATTGCTTGAAAAATATACTGTTGCCGCTTACACCTCCCTCAGTTGAAAGAGAATGCACTTAAAATACAGAGCAACAACCGCAGCAATAATAATAATAATGATGATACACACACCTGGGCATGCATGTAAAATGAAAGAGTAAAGGTAATTTAACAAGACAAAAGCAATGAGCTGAAAGGCATATTGTGGCATTTCAGGTATTTTTCCCTGGGAGGAGTTCGGCGAGTTTTTTTTTTTTTTTTTTTACATTTTTGATGAGGAGGGGGTTGTGCAGAATGCATCCCAACTCATCCAATCAAAATTATGCCCATGGCACTTTCACATTCTCGTGTTTGTTAAAATTCTTCAGCATAGGGAAGACTGCACTTACCCTGGAAGCAGATAACGTGTTTTTATCAGTTCAACCAGAAAAAGACAACAAAACTAAAAAGATGAACTTTGCTATCAGGACCGGTGCTGATCATTAAAACTTCCGCCACTGTGGACAGATGTATGCAACATTACAAAACATACACTGCCTGCTGTCAACTTATACACACATTTTCAAGACCAAATGAAATATTGGTCCTGAACTTTTAGAAACTAACTAGTGCTTAGTGTGATTTCGAAACTAGTATAGACATATTGTAGTTGTTCTGTGATGTGTTTTTATTAGATTGCATGTTAGAGGGGGTCATTTAGTTTGTGCTGCAATGTAAGCAACTGAAGCCAAAACGGTGGTGTCCATGAGAAAGCACCATCAATGGTGTTATTTCTAGTAAATGGCAATTTTCTATTTTTCCAAAAATGGGCCAGCACAGCTAGGCCACAATGCTATAACAATGCAGTAGTGAAAGTGTTAAAAGTATTGGGCCAGAGATGTTAACAAAGACACTTGTTTTTCATTGTACACTTGAAGAAGGCTGTAGAATGGCACAACCAAAATATTGTGGCAATAGCAAAAGCAACAAATGAGTGGGATCAAAAGTTTGAACAACTCTTAAAATGTTTATAACTCATCTCACAATTACAGAATATTTTTTTCTGCAGGGACTGTATACTCGAGGCAGGCTGTAGAATGCATCAGCCAAAATATATTTAGTGTGTGAAAAGGTGTCAATTATTTCCAGTAAATGGCAATTTCCTATTTTTCCCCAAAGTGGGCCAGCAAAGCCAGGCAACAATGCTATAACAATGCAGCAACAAAAGTGTTAATAACAAAAAGGATTCATCTATGTTGCTATCATTCAAATATTGGAATAGCATAACTGAAAAAAGGAAAAAAATGCCATTTGTTAATTTATTTGTTGGTTGCTTGAATGTCATTTTTTTCAAGTCCCCTGCAGAAAATCCGATTGGGACCAAAAAAGCTGCACTCATGAGAAATTGCCATCAGCATCTTCTTTATAGTTATATATTTCTAGTAAATGATGACTTCCTATTTTTCCTCAATTAGGCCAGCAAAGGCAGGCAACAATGCAGCAGTGAAAGCAATATTTTTATAAAAAACTACAATTTTTGGGGGAATATTTTTGTCAGAACTACAATTTTGGGGGGAATATTTTGAGCACTGCCCATTTAAAAAAATAAAATAATTGTTTAATAAATATGTTCTCCCAGTGATGACCTATGGAAATGTGACATGGGCACTCAGCAGCAGCACCACGACAGAGACTCGTGCAGAAGCTCTATGTAAAATCATTCAATGTGAATCATGCTTGGCATCACCTTGTGTGACAGAAAGAGCAATATCTTGATCCGACAGCAGAAATAAAGGAAATAATCAAGACCATCAAAAAAAGGCCAAACATAGATGGGCTGCTGACCAGGTCTTTCATCCCAAAGACAACAGGTGGACTATAAGGGCAATAGAACAGTCATGCTAAAGAACAAAGGAGGGCAGATAAAGGCAAGAAGGAGCGACAATCTGATCCCATACGGCCCAGGAAGTGAGGGAGATCAACCAAGGAGGGGGTTTCTCCAACAAGAGTGAGAAGGATTTGGATTTAAACAAAATTATATGAACTAGTCGACTGAAGTGCCACGCCCCTTCAGACCATGGCTCTTTTTAGCAAGCTTTTTCTTTAATATTTGAAATTTATTATGACTGTTCTGCTGTTTGTCTTATTACCTTCTCTAATGTTTACTATTCAACACTGATGTTCTAGACTGGCTTCCAACCAAAGCTAGAGGCTATACTGCCTTTATCCATAGCTAAGTAAATGCAAACCATCTCAGAACTTGCTTGCCGATTCTGCACTGCTTAATTTTTTTTGTCTACTTGCACCTCCAATTATTACAAAATCAAAGACAAGCAACTTCACTGCATCTGCATCGCAAACCACAATTTTTATAATTTAAATGATCAAAAACCTCATCAGAAGATTCTTTAAAAGTGTCTCCTAAAATGCCGAACATACCAGTTATACAAGCTATTGTCAAGAATTCTCGAGGAAAAACTGAAGTTAGCTAAATATAACACTTCTACTCTCTTTCCTTCAAGTATTCAAGACAAGCAACAACCTCTTCTACACCAGGAGGTCTCTGGAAAATTATAGCCAACCAAAGAGCCTTTAGTTAAAACCCCAGATATTAGTAATTCTAATTCATATTAGTAATTGTTCTGAGGCTTTAAAAACAGAAACTCACCAAGCCTTAAGCCAGGCAGTGTCACATAGACTCTCTGGAAACAAGACAAGTAATAATGGAGGCACACTAAATAAGAACTAGATTAACGCATTAAGTTGGGAATTTGGTGACATATTAATTACGAGTTTCAATCCTTGGCTGAGCAGTGCATACTTGGAGTTGGTCGAAACATAGTAAGTAATAACTAATTTTGTTTTTTTAATCATTTCCCTCCAAGAAAGGCAATAAGGCCACCAAGATGCAAGGGGATGTTGAATGAGAGAGGACATGAGAAAAAGAAAAATACTATTAAAGAGAGATAACAATAAAAGAACAGGAATTAAGAAGACAGAATATAATAACTGACATTGCATTAAAATTTTTGAAGATCAAAATTGACTGGAAAGCAAGAAGCAGGAAGATAGTTCCAAAAGCAAGAGAAGAAACTGTTAATGAAGAACTTACAATTACATCAGCAATTTCAACTGTAAAGTGATGAGACCTATCTGCCAATCTAGTACTGTGTTTAATTAGTAAAGTTGACGTATCAAAAAGGAAAACTCATCAGAACAATTAACATGAAAATAGTTATAGAAAAGGCACAGGGAAGCTACGTTCGAGTGGTAGGAAAGTGACAGAAGCCAAGATACCAGGTCAGGATAGATAGCATAAATATGATACAAATAAAAAACAGATAAGATATCCCTGAACAGTCAGCAGAAAAAGAACAATCTACACTCATAGGTTAAATAAAGGATTCAGTTTGAAATTTCCTGAATGTAACCCAGATCAATAGATACTCAATGGAGGCCAGAGGACACAATGACCAAAATAGTGTGATAACAACAACAAAAATAGGAATAATTGTGTGCATATAAATAAGAAACTCACCAATATCAATTTTAATACATATTTTATTTTAATAGTGACATAATCAAATGGTGTCAGCTTATTCGTTCAAGAGCTCTTTAAAACACTCATTTATTTTTCATTAAACCAAAAAGGAAATGTGACAATTTGGTGGGGGAGGGATCAACTATGAAGATCATTCTAAATAATTCCAAACATGTAATGCACAACCAATCAAATTCTTTTACCGGCAATTTTTTTTCTGCTTGAAATCATGCCCCCCCACCCATCCTATCGGCATAACATTTAACATTTCACTAATTAATTCAATCTGCAAGCAAATTACTTTTTTTCTGCCTTAATTAGATTATATGAATTTATGATAGATTGTTTCATTCATTTTCTATGGCTTAACCCTTTGCAGGTTATTTAAAGCCAGAAAATATTTTTATATTCTAGGAATTTTTTTTTTTTTGGAGATAACAATTTATTAATACAAGTCCTACTAATTAACCCATAGCTGGGGGGAGAAGAGGTAGATTCATACCTTTCCCCAACAGTATTTGTGCATGTGAATATAACGAACCCAACTGGAATTGGAACTTGGCCCACCAGTTAACAATTCTGAGCCATTATACATTATTACACCACCTACACATCCAAGCTTACCACACCTGGTTCCCCCAAGTAGTCACCTATCTAGGTACTGACCAGACTTCACATTACTTAACTTGCATAGAGGAACCGGTTTTTCACCAAAATATGGGTGTAAGCATATTATATCACCTGCACATCCAAACTTAAAGTACCTGGTTCCCCCAAGTGGTCACCTATCTAGGTACTGACCAGGTTCAATGTAGCTTAACTTCAGTGATCATATAGGAAAAAGTAGTTTCAACATGATATGGCCAGAAGTCATGAATTTCAAAACAAATAGCAACAGGTTCACATTCAAAACTGCAGCTTTCCAAAATTCAATCTGAACTTTGATCCATTAAATCTGTGCTACCAGTTTATTCAAATAGTCTAGCATCTCATCATCAAGAGACCGTCACATTTCAATATAAGGTTGTTAAGATGAGCAACTGTTGCGTTCTGTGTCATTTCTGGGTCCTCACACTACTACATAAAATGGTATTAACAAAAAAGGACAATTTATTTTGCTTATTCATTTATATTAGGAGAGAATGGTGGTACTTTAGATTGTAAGAGACAGCAAGAGGAATAACATTATGGAAATGCATGTTGCATCAACGTGCAAGGGTGGTCTTAGCCAGTCTTTAACCTGGGTGTCAGAAGCATATTAACGCTTCAAAATTCTTGCAGTCCTCTGTTGAATTTGCACCTTTTTAGACTTATGCCCAAAACCCAAACAAAGGCAATCCATCACTGTCAGAATACCATGCCTACAAAGCACTCCAGCCAATCGCTGACCATTCTGTATCACAACTTTGTACTGGCCATTTGTTGATCTTCCATCATGATTTGTCCTGAAGTAGTAGAACTTTACCCAAAATATCCAGAGATAAAATATCAGCAAATGGTCAACTCTTATTATTCTCAACAGCAATTACCATAAGGAGAGTCAGATCTCAAATAGCAACAAGTCACTTAGTTGAAGAACTTAGTGAATGGCATTACCATTATTGAAAGACTATCAAATACTTTACTACATTCCCAAATTTAGAAAAGGTAAATTTGTTTAGATCTGTGTATCCCAAATGGGACACACATCCCCTTTTGGCAATGTGAGAAAGAATTAAAAGTAAAATTTTTCTGAGTGAGTCTGTATGAGTATGAGTGTGCATGCGAGTTAATACATACAATGTATATACAGTATGTATACATAAAAATATTTGTGTGTGTGTATATATATATATATATATATATATATATATATATATATATATATATATTAAACACAATATTTTTTATAAATATTGTAAAATTCTAAAATTAAATGGTAATACTATTACATATATGAAGTCTCAAGTTCTTATGGAAAGTTAAGTTAATGACCTTTTAGGCTTCCTCCATGTGAATAGGAGTTCACTTTTTGAATAATAAGAACTGTGTGTCACAGGGTGTGGGATGAGAATTTTAGAAATGTTTAGTTGGGGTATGGCAAAAAAAAAAAAAAAAAAAAAAAAAGAAAGAAAGAAAAGAAAGGGTTGGGGGGGGACACTGGTTTAGATCAAATCAGATATGCCATCTTGAGCAAATATTGGGTGTTTAATAACTAGTTTACAACATAAATAACATTTATAATATGGTTTCACTATGCCTTGCCAGATAGTTTTTCTTGCCTGAATTCATTTTTCATTTTTAAATCTACCATTCATCTGTGCACTGAATATTGCTGCCATATCTCGTCTGGTGCTCTGGTTATATATCTAGAGATTTTTGACAAAATCCAGAAGAGTCTGCAATGTTATTGGCCTTGACCTGGCATCTTGACTTAAGTCAATTTCCCACCACCATGACACAGTTTCCCTCTCACTTTTCTATAAATATTTTCATGGCAGTTCTTATAATGTGCTGTACTCTTTGGTACCTCTACTGTGCGAAATTAAGCGCACTACTAGAACTGGCTACTAAGTCTACTCATTTTACTGTTGTAATAGATAGATGTAACTACAAGTTCTATTTTAGTAGTTTCTTTTCTTGCATTTCTCATCTCTTGAACACTTTTCTGATTTCTTGCTTCTTTGCCACCTGTGTTCTTCAAAAGTTTAAATACATCATCAATCGCCATCTTCTGTCCCTTTCTTCTCACTCTCTTTCACTCCCAGTAACCATGTGCAACTTAGGGGCATTTTCACCTTGCCTTGCTTGGGATGAAATGGTTAAAAAAAAAAAAACACACCACCACCACCAACAACACACCATTGTATGGGTCTTTTACAGAAGAAAATGCAACTCCCCACCTCTATACATTAAAATGATAATTTTTTTAAAGTATGGAAGACAGAGAGTTACATTAGTTTCTGGTGGGGATGAATAAAAGAAAGTAAAAAAAGAGCTCATTTCTCTATACTTCAAGCAATTGTTTTATTATGGTTATTGTTTAAAAAGAAAAAAAATTCTCTCCTTATTCATTGCAACATTGTTGCACAGGACAACTCCAAAATTAGTAAAAGGCAATTTAATCAGAATTAAATTCTGGTACAAAATCTAAGTATTTCATTACATGTCAATCAGTCATCGCTCTCTCCTAAAAAATATTGTGAAAAAAGAATTGTTTTTAATGAGTATTTAGAAAAGAGAAAAGTACCACAGCATTCTTGATACTAAGAAAACAATCAAGGAAAAAAAAAAAAAAAAAAAAACATTAAAATTTTTTAAAGACCTAATCTTGAAAGATGATATGAGAATTAATATTCCAAAGATTGTCCAGAGAATTAAATTCCTCTCGTGTTCTTCATTTTGTTAACAAGCATGATTACAGAAACTATGGCAAGCAATGAACTTGTGCCTCTGACCAAAATTTTGATATGGTAACACCCGTCTTTTAGATTAAATTTCATAGATTTTTTTTTTTATAAGAAAATAATGGTCTCACTGACAGTGAACAGTAGTACTATATAAAATATGTTGTTATGGAGATTCCAATATTGCATTTAGACCTAATAAATTGCATAAGTGGCTTAATAAAATTGACCATTCTTATGTTTACAATAAACCAAACATGGATCATGCATTTCACTATCCAAGAATGACTTGAATGATGTTAAGAGAAACTGCTAAGTGGCACCTAAGGAATACACTCCATCTTAAGTGCACCATTGTTTGATAGCATTTCAGATTCATTCTTCAGCCTTTGTGGAGGTGTAAAAATCGTTATATTATGTGCATGAATACAGACAAAAGGAAAACTTATATTAGCCAATGCATTTCATCCTCAGAGGGACTTTATCAAGGTAAATGTCTTTATTCATAGTCCTTTTACAGATATGCTCTATCTAAAATTTTTAAACACACACACACACACACACACACATATATGTACACACCAATATGTATTTGGTAGGGATAATTCCAACATTAATCCAAAGAAAACTCAATATAAGTTACAATGCAATATAATAATAAATCAAGAAAAACCTTAAAAATTCATATTTTCTTTCTTTCTTTTTTATTATTAAATTTTCTTTTCTCCCCCCACCAACTCTTTCCTTTTTTTTTTATCCCAATATATATGACTGAATGGATTGTTTCCACTTTCAGTATGAAGAGAATATAAAAATACTCATGAAATAACTGACATGAACTTTTAAGGTTTTTCTTGAGATATATATATATAAAAAAAAAAAAAAAAATTTGTGAGCGTGTTTAGTGTATATTTGGGCAGTAACTTCTTTTAAACATCTTTCATTAGATATGATGGACAACGATAATTTTATTAATTTTTTTTTTTTATTTATCTTTTCCAGCAAATGGAAAAATATGAGTACAAAAATTGTCCATATTGGCCAATGTTCCAAACACTATCGGTCACTTCGATGATATGGACAATTTTTGTAATCACTCACTCACACCAAACAGAAAAAATCTAAGAACACTGGAGAAAAAAAAAAAAAAAACTAAATAAAGAATTAAAATGTCCCTTGTCTGTCATATTTAATGAAAGATTGAGAGAGAGAGAGAGAGAGAAAACAGATTTCTTCAGATATCAAGAACACAACAAATTCAATTGTTAAGCTGACTTCAAATTCCAGCCAAATTTGTCACATTGACACAAATGCCCTTAGGGAAGGTATGAACCCATTTCTCTCCCCTTTACATACACACGCAATAGATTAAGTAGTAAGTCTGAATGGACTCTTGCCTAGAAGTGGCAACCAGTCTAGGAAAAGGAAAACTCAATTCAAAGCCAGTCTGAAGAGCAAATGGGATAAATTAGGTTATCTTGATCCAGACACACCACTGCAACTATGGCTGCAATACATGCAGTGCCTCCATGACCCTAGTGAGTTACAGAACACAGACACAAAATATTTTTTGATAAGCTAAAAAACAAAAATGTCTTATCCAGATTTATTGATAAACCCAAGAGGAGGACCATAACATTAAGAGAAATGTTACCTGGCTTTGGTTGGGGTAGTTCCAAAATAATATTAAGCTCAAGCCCTGGGGTCATCCTTTCAGGCAGTACTTCTCCATTAGGAGGGAGAGGAGGGGTCATTACCTGGTGCCAGAGGAATCCCCAAAATGAGAAGTGCTGCTTGGGGCTTGAGAAATTCTTTCACGGTATTGCCATTGAACCCACTTTAAACCAAACTTGTATCTCATTCATAAACAATGTGTGCACTGAAAAAAACCACTTCAGAGAAAAGTTAAGAAAATGATTTTCTCACATCAATATGGGTCAATTAGAACCAAGTTATCGGTGTAGATAGAACAGTTTTTATTAATACCAGAACTCAATGTTAAATGTTTTGATTCCAAGAAATAGCTATTAGAACCTCCAAGTTAATCATGAACACTAAATTTCCTGGCATGTCCATCATCTTTTATACAACCAGAAAAATAATCAGTAAAACACAAACTCATTACCAGTACTTATAAATTTTTATAACCAAAAATTGTTTATCATTATCACATATAGTAGGAAATATATATGTATATATTTAAATAAAATAATATCCAATTTTTTTTTCAGAGTATACTCATTTGCTCAGGCAGCTAGCTAATCCCTGTTGCAGTAGAGTGGGTTAATTTTTCACTTAACAAAAAAAAAAAAAAAAAAAAACATTACACTCGATGTGATAAGTACTGACATCAAAAATTAGATTCATCATCATCCACTTGACATTTGTAATTGTAGAAGGGGGGTCCGAATGCAAAGCCACACTAAATACCCTCCACAACAGTCTATCAACAGCAACCATCAGCAATTCTGGTATAGTCA